CCAGTATCATTTATCACCGAAGTCGAGTGGCCTGACCTTTTCCCTGCAGTCTTCATCTCAGTTCCAGCTTTATGATCTCATCACACATGATGATGTCACAGTGGCTTTGATTCCACCCTGATGATGTCATCCGTTCTGCTGATTCCGTCCCTCTGACGAGGTGTGTGCGTGTGTGTGTGCGTGTGTTGATTTCTTTCCTTTAACGTGGGAATCGTAATTACCGAAGTGATGACAATCTCCACACGCTCTCAGACTCGCTTCTAATTAATAGACATGACATGAAAATAATGGGATGAATATGCGAACACTGAGCAGCCACACAAACACACACAGTGATGGAAGGCACACTGTCTCTCTGTGTGTGTGTGTGTGTGTGTGTGTGTGCGTGTGTGTGTGTGTGTATGTGTGCGTGTGTGTGTATTAATGAAATGCACTTCTGAGAAATCCAGCCTTTAATCATCTTTCTGTCAGTCGTGCTGAATTATCGTAGAAATATGATTATATTTAAGTGATGTCAGAATGTCATTGATTGTAAAGGTCTGTGGTGAAAACATCTTTTGTTGTGTTCCACAGAGGAAAGCAGAGCCTCATGGGTTCGAGACCGGCATCAGGGTGAGTAAATTATTATTATGATTATTATATCTCAAAACTGTCATCCTAATAGTGCACTTTAATTATTGGTACATCACTATAACTATTAGAGCCAGACCGATATATCGGCAGGCCGATATTAGGCATTTTCCAAACTATCGGTATCGGCAGTTATAATGACCGATAAATGAATATGTCAAAAATAAAATAAAAACGGACGAAACACGCTTGAACCATGTCATGAGTGTTGGAGTTGTATAGTTTGTCCACCAGAGGGCGCTCTACACCGTTCCTGTTGGCAACACTCGTTGAGTTGGTCACGATACATACATTGATTGATAAACAATTAAAAGAACATCCCCATCAGTTCTCTTAACTTAAATAAGCATGACAAAATTTGTGACTATCATGTCCAATTTAAATAAATAAATAAAATATCGGCCGATATATCGGATTTTAAAACCCCAAAATATTTGTATCGGTAGGGCTCTACTAATATTAATAAACAGATTTAATAATAGAAATAGTTATTTATTTGTTTGTAATGTGGTCTTCTAACGCTCACAGCTCTACAACAGTGAGATATCAAATAAAATAAAATGAAATAAAATAAAGTCTTCAGTAAATTTGTCAAAATGGCCAGTCATTTATTGTAGTGGAAATCAAATTTTTTTTTTGTCTTTAAAATGTGTGAGCATGTGTTTGTGTGTGTGTCCTTTGAATGAACTGCCATGCAAGGAAACATACTAAAGCAGCAACCGCTCTCTCTCTCTGTGTGTGTGTGTGTGTGTGTGTTTGAAGGAAGCCCATGGGCTTCTTTATCCTGCTCAGATCTGACCAGGCCGGGCTGCAGCTGGGTAGTTCTGGCCCTAAACACACACACACACACACAGCCGGAAAGGGTCCAGGCTATACACACGCTGCCAGTCCACACAGCTGAGCGGAAGATAAGATACGCGTCTCTCTCTCTCTCTCTCTGTAGATGCATCAGAAGTGAACACATTTCTATTTCTTCTGCTCAGCTGTAATGCTATTATTTCAGATGAGGAATCAAATCTGACAACAATAGTTACATATATTGTGCCTGTGTGGCTCCAAACGCACAAAAACAGGAGATTGGCTCTTTTAACTGTGAGGACCAACTACAGCCATTTTCTCTCATTCACACACAGCCTTTATCTGATCAAAAATACAGTAAAGACTGAAATATGATGAAATGTTGTTAGAATTTGAAAATAGCTGCATGTTTTCTATGTGAATATATAGTAAAGTGTAATGTAATCCTGTGATCGAAGTCTTCAGTGTCACATGACCCTTCAGAAATCACTCTAATATGATGATTTGATGCTAAAGAAACATTTATGATGATTATAAACAGGTCATATTTCATTTCAATTTTCCAGTTTCTTTGAAGTGCAAAATAACAGCATTTATTTGTAATAAATCAATTTAATGCTCCCTTAAATATTAAATGTCAGAACTAATCATCTAGCTTGACCCAATGTGTGGAAATCACATCTGGAATAGAAACACGCGCTCTTATGGATGGTTGGCGTATTCTCAGCACAAACGCCTAAATGTTGGTATGGATCTTTTTTTTGGCTGTAATTTACCTTCATATTTGTGTGTGTGTGTGTGTATGTTAAATCATCAGGCATTGGCCACCTGAGGAGCGTTCCCTCTTGCAGTGTTTGACATCCTCAGCCTGCTGTTGAAAGACCACCAGAGACCCTGCAGTCGTGTGTGTTTGCTCGCTGAAGAATAGCGCTATTTTAAGACTCGGCACACAACGCTTAAGGCCATTGTGTCTGATTCTATTTATCCCATTCAGGAGTGTGTGTGGGTTAATAATCAGAGAGCCCACGCTACATGAGTGCATTGTGTTTGTTTGTTGATGTGTTTAAAGGGACAGTTCAGCCAGAAATGATCGTTCTGTCGTCACTTGCTCGCCCTCATGTCGCTCCGAAACCTGTATGACTTGCTTTCTTCTGTGGGGCACAAAAGGATAATCATATTCTCTCAAATCTCATGCTCATATTCACACAAAAAAAAACATATAAAAAATATAACTTTTTTGTTGTTTAAAAAACAAGCAACCCCAGTCCAGGGGATAAAAAGTAACGCAAAATAATAGTAATGCTAGTTACTTTTTAAACGCAAAACACATAACTTGATTATTAGTCGTTATTATCTATATATTTTAACGAAATATTAAAGGGATAGTTCACTTTGAAATTAATTTTTGATATGTTTTATCTTACCTCAAGGGCATCCAAGATTGTCATCCAGTATTTTCAATTTTGACATTTTTCAGTCAAACCGTTGTTGTCTATCAGTCATACACTGGAGGCTAAGGGGGTCCACCAAAGAGCAGCACAGAGAAGTCCAAATTAAACATGATTTAATGACTCGTAAATGTAAGTACACATTGATGGCCTAAGACACGAAACGAGCGGTTTGTGTGAGAAAACGAACAGTATTTATATCGTTTTTACCTCTTGTAATCATAGCCGTGACAAAATGATGTGACGGCACGGGCGCTTCGGTCTGGAAGTGATCGCTTGAACGCCTACGTCACTTTTTGTTTATACAGAGATTTCGGAAGTTTTACCTTTCACTAAACATATTACGGGATATACAGGATATACGGTAAACCGCAATGGAAGATGATTTCGTATATCTAAATATGTTTAGTAAAAGGTAAAACTTTCGAAATCTCCGTGTAAATATTGAGTGACGTCACACGCGAGCGATCACTTCCGGCGTAACATTGAACTGATTCAGTTCGGTTCAGTTGGACATTGAACAACTGATTCAGATCACTTGGATTACACGAGGTAAAAACGATATAAATACTGTTGGTTTTCTCACACAAACCGCTCGTTTCGTGTCTTAGGCCATCAATGTGTACTTGCATTTACGAGTCATTAAATCATGTTTAATTATGACTTCTCTGTGCATGCATTTTGGTGGACCCCCTTAGCCTCCAGTGTATGACTGATAGACAACAACGGTTTTAATAAAAAATGTCAAAATTGAAAATACTGGATGACAATCTTGGATGCCCTTGAGGTAAGATAAAACATATCAAAAATTAATTTCAAAGTGAACTATCCCTTTAAATGTAACCCTCGTGCCAGGAATGTTGTACGGTTTAAAACAACATGAGGAAAATGACAATATTATGAAGGGTTGAACGGTCCCTTTAAACCTGATGACTTTATTAGGCGTGTTTCATAAATCATTGCTGAATTAAAATCCGCCTTTAAGAACGCTGCAGAAGTGGAAGGACACATTTCAGGAACATTAAGCAATGTTTAGCAGGCGTGACGTCCTCACAGGAGGATATAACGGATGGAGACGCTAAACACACACACACACACTCTTAAGTATGTGTTGTTTTGGCAGTGTGAAATTGATGAGCTGAAGAAAATAATCTCGCAATGGAAATTTGAGGTGCTTTTGGGGCTAAAAAAAGATATTTTTAACTTCTGATATATTTCATTAGTGGATGAATCTCACCAAAACATGTCCACATCATATTTCACCCCCAAAATCAAAAGAAAAAATAAGAATGAATATTTTGGATATCTTTTTTTTTTTTTTTTTTGGATCATTAAGATTTTTTTTGCATTGCAACATTATTTTTATAATGATGATTAAACACATTCCCTCCAAAATATCCCATTACTGTAATGCGTCCTGACATCATGCTCTTGGGTTTTTCCTCATTAGATTCTTATTAATTTTATGCAACACATTTGTTTTTTCGTGTTTTACTGGGGCGACGTTGTCGCTCTTCTTTTTAGTACCTCAGCTGATTCTTCTAGACGTCAATGAGGTTAAATATATATATTCAAAATATTAACAAAAACTGTAATATTATCTCAATGTCACTAAAATATTAAAATAACACTGGTCTGAACCGAACCAATCGTGCCGCACGAGCCCTCAAAAGTGAAGCCAAAACGTCTCGATCGCCCCCCAGTGGCCGGTCCTAGTATAACTTATAAACCCCGCCTTCCTATGTTATTCAACGGGACGTGAGACCAACTAAACAATTAAATTACACTTCACATATCCTTTATCCAAAGACAGTTTCTGTCATTTCCTGTAGTTTATATCACGTTGATGTTATTTGAAGAGTTTGTTATTAAAATACGTTTATTTTTAGTTTAGTTAAACGGTGCTGTGACAACATGATTGACAGGTTCTCTGTGCGAAGTTGTCACTGAAGCACCAGCGGACTTTTTTTCATAATGTATGTGGTTAGTAGTTGTTTTTACCTTATTTTAACGAGGTTTTGCAATCAACAGACACCACTGGCGATTGATTCCGAATCCACGAGAGTGAGGGCGGGGCCTTGATTTCGCGGCTTTACTTCCTGCTCACGACTGCGCATGTCTGGTCCGAAAACGCAAGTGCGCAGACTCAAGTCCCAAGACAATGGCGGCTTCAGTTATTTTCGATGGAAAAGAGCGAAGGTGCGTCGTACGTCTTTTTTACAGTCTATGGTCTGAACACAGTGATTAAAAATTATACAATAAATAATGCTCCAATCTTAGTAGCCAATCAGATCGCTCCGTCTCTTGATGTGTGTAAACCAGTGTTATTAATTATTCATGGTATTTTGTCTCTGTGTGTGTTTAGTTATTCAGTCATCAAGTCATGACAACATGTTTTTTTGTTACTTAAAATCATCAAAATAATTTAATTAATTTCAACTACACACACTTCAACTAAAAAATGTAATGAAAAAAATTAACGCAATGGCTGGGTTTGTCCAAATTTGACCCTAATTTGGCTTAAAACAACCCCGCGTTTTTTGATGATTTTTATGAGCCAATTTGCAACTGAACTTACTGTACATTTTTAAGCTGAATTATTAAAATAAAAATTTCAAAATGAACTCAAGCATTTCTCATCCGAATTTGAGCTGCTCTCCACTTTCTTTTTATAGCAGTGCAATCTCGCCATATACAGTGTCTCGGCTTCACTATAAAAATGTTGCGTTATTTTAACCCAAAATTGGGTCAAATATGGGTCAAACCCAAACGTTGGATTAAAAATTTGATTAAAAAACTGACCCAATGGCTTGGTTTGTCCATATTTGACCCAAATTTGGGTTAAAACAACCCCACATTTTTGTATAGTGTACAGACAAACTGTAGCAAAATGAGTTGAATGAGCCAATTTGATTAACTTACTGTACATTTTTAAGCTGAATTATTAAAAAAAAAATTCTCAAAATGAACTCAAGCATTTCTCATCAGATTTTGAGCTGCTCTTCACTTTCTTTTTATAGCAGTGCAATCTCGCCATACACAGTGTATCAAGCTTCACTATAAAAATTTTAACCCAAAATTGGGTCAAATATGGACAAACCCAAACGTTGGATTAAAAATGTGATTAAAAAATCACTTGGTTTGTCCATATTTGACCCAAAGTTGGATTGAATCAACCCAGTATTTTTTTAGAGTGTGTTGTCTCATTTGTTTCTATTTTCATTTCTCCACAGAACTTCTGAGACTGTTGGAAAGGCAATGAACTATAAAGCCATAAGATGTTCCTCTGGGTTTCCATTACTATCCCATCAGCCTCTCTCTCTCTCTCTCTCTCGCTCTCTCTCGGGTGATGTTTCAGGTCAGTGAACATAAGCTGTAAGCATTCCTGTGAGAATAATAACATATCGTACATGATCATATAGCACACCACCCAGTCTCTCACTCATGACATGAGCTTGATTTGCGACTCAATCTAACACACCCATAATGCACGTCTCCAGAACATGATCAAGAACAGCTCATATATATCTTATATTAATGCACACATAATTGTGTCATGCTCTCGGTGCACTGAGCTGATGCGGTGGTGGAGAAAGCGTGTGTTCTTCATTTCAGCAGAACGAAATCTCATTAATGCCCGTGTTTTCTTAAAGTGCCCCAGTTATGCTATTTTAAAGGCTCCTCGTTTTGTTTTGGACTCTTCTACAATAAAATAAACACTAATTTACTCCTGAAACGCTTCGTTTGCAGATTCAGTCTCTCTAAACCCCGCCTCTCTGAGAGCTGCTCTGCTGTGATTGGTCAGAAAGCAAACGCTCATTCTCATATCTGAATCTCAGCTCTTGAACAACACCAACCAAACTCTTCCAGTCTCAGATACACTACAGTGATGAGGGCGGGGCTTAGAGACGCTGTTCAGCCAATCAACACCACAGGCTGACTTTACGCTAATGAGTTACGTTCTGACATGGGTATCCAACAGGAAGTGAGACTGAATTACTGACGACTCATTTCTGTTCACACTTCTTTCTTTAGGAGACAAAAACTGCACTTTTATCTTTAAAACTTTTGACCTTTTACTTTCAGAAACAGCTCAATTACACACGACATGAAATCTCTCAATCTCATTCAATTTGAACATTTCTTATAGATTTTACTTCATACTTTGATAATTCAACTAAATCAGAGAACTCAATTAAGATATCAGTGATGAAAGAGGAAACTGTGAGCATGCAGATTTGAGTCCCGCTCGTGTCTCAGTAGCCAATCAGAACGCTCCGTCTATTGATGTGTGTAAACCAGCGTTATTAATTATTCATGGGGACCAAAGGGTGGTATTTTGTCTCTCTGTGTTATGGTTGACTGAGTTATGAAGATTGTTTGTGTTTGATTATGGCACAGACCAGTTTTCTGGGAACTGTAAATTGGAAAAAAACATTAAGAGAGTTGTTTTTCAAACCCGAAGACCAGACTCGGCTCAGATTTATATATATCGGCTCAGATATGTATATACATTGATTTGAGAGTTACAGAGATAAACATTGTTATAAATAAAGGTTCTTTACGGCAACCATTATCATCCATTAAAAGATTTCATAGATTTTTAAAATGTTCTTCAAACTAAGAAAGGAAGGAACCTTTATTTTTAGGAGTATATTAACAAAATATCATACATAAACGGTCCAGTTAACCAATCAGAACTCTCTGAGGACAGATTAAAGTATCTTATTGGCTGAATATGAAATGTCAGTATCTTCTCCAGCAACACACACACACATAATCTCGCATGCAATAATTATATAGTAATGCGCAAAGTTATCTATTATATATCAATAATTATATATTAATGCATTACTAAAGAGAGTCTCTAATGCAGTATATATGTTCCGTCTCTTGCCGTGTTTCTTGCATTTTTCATCAAAGCTCGAGTCGAAAGTCTCTCAGAGTCTCGCAGCGAGTCCTGCTGTCGCCACTGGAAAGTTGCTTAGTAACTGAGGAAGTGAAGATTTCATACGACTGCTCACTGTGAGCTTATGCTGATCACACACTCTCTCACACACACACACTCACACACTCCCTCATTCACTCACTCACACTCTTAGAAGAAATGGTTTTATTTAGAACCAGAAATGGTTCCATCCCCCGCTTCATATATGGAACTCCAAAATGGTTTTATATAGAACCATTTTTTTGGGTAAAAGGTTCTATTGGCCAAGTACGGAACCCCAGGGTTCTATATTGAACCCAGAGGAACCCTTTTTTTAAGAGTGTATAGAACCTTTTAGGGGTTTCAAATACATAGCACTGATAGAACCTTTTAAGGTTCTATATAGAACCTTTTCTTCTAAGTGTGCACTCTCACTCACTCACAAACACACACACTCGCTCACTCACTCACTCACTCACTCACACTCTTAGAAGAAATGGTTCTATTTAGAACCAGAAATGGTTCCATCCCCCGCTTCAATCATTTTGGAACTCCAAAATGATTCTATATAGAACCATTTTTTTGGTAAAAGGTTCTATTGGCCAAGTACGGAACCCCAGGGTTCTATATTGAGCCCAGAGGAACCCTTTTTTTAAGAGTGTATAGAACCTTTTTAGGGGTTCCAAATATGTAGCGCTGATAGAACCTTTTAAGGTTCTATATAGAACCTTTTCTTCTAAGTGTGCACTCTCACTCACTCACAAACACACTCGCTCACTCACTCACTCACTCACTCACTCACTCACTCACTCACTCACACTCTTAGAAGAAATGGTTCTATTTAGAACCAGAAATGGTTCCATCCCCCGCTTCATATTTGGAACTCCAAAATGGTTCTATATAGAACCATTTTTTTGGTAAAAGGTTCTATTGGCCAAGTACGGAACCCCAGGGTTCTATATTGAGCCCAGAGGAACCCTTTTTTTAAGAGTGTATAGAACCTTTTTAGGGGTTCCAAATATGTAGCGCTGATAGAACCTTTTAAGGTTCTATATAGAACCTTTTCTTCTAAGTGTGCACTCTCACTCACTCACAAACACACACACTCGCTCACTCACTCACTCACTCACTCACTCACTCACTCACTCACTCACTCACTCACACTCTTAGAAGAAATGGTTCTATTTAGAACCAGAAATGGTTCCATCCCCCGCTTCATATTTGGAACTCCAAAATGGTTCTATATAGAACCATTTTTTTTTGGTAAAAGGTTCTATTGGCCAAGTACGGAACCCCAGGGTTCTATATAGAACCCAGAGGAACCCTTTTTTTAAGAGTGTATAGAACCTTTTAGGGGTTCCAAATACATAGCGCTGATAAAACCTTTTAAGGTTCTATATAGAACCTTTTCTTCTAAGAGTGCACTCTCACTCACACACACACACACACACACACACACTCGCTCAGTCTTTCTCTCACACACACTCACATGATGGTAAGTGTATGTTGATAGTCTTAATTCTCCTGCTGATTGTAGTAATGAACGATGTCGTCTGCAAGTGGAGACAGACATTAATAAAAACACTCAAACAATCAATCAAATCATAATGTGTGTGTGCAGTCTGAGACGTGTGTCATAAATCAGTCTTCAGTAATCCAGAAACTGTTTCTGTGAAGTGTGTGTGTACATACGGGCTGTGTGCCAAACCCTGCTGATACACACTCACTCTCGATGTGAAGATTGAGCGAAGATGATCATGTCGAGACAACATCGCATGCACCGTTTACCGAGAAAGCAAAGTGTGCGGAAAAATATAATTCTATACATGGAAATTACCAGAATCTTGCAAATTAAAAAATGCAGAATCGTTCTTTCATTGAGCAAGAATGCATTCAATTGATAAAAAGTGAGAGAAAATAGTGATGAATGTTTTTCTTATGACCTTTCATTCATCAAAGAAAAATAAAATATGAAAATATGAAAATATGACCACTGATAATAATCATAAATGTTTCTTGAGCATCAAATCATCATATTAGAGTGATTTCTGAAGGATCATGTGACACTGAAAACTGGAGTAAGAGCATTTATTTCAGCTATTTTATAGTAATATTTCATAAAATAAAAACAAAACGACACACCACTCATATACAAACATCTTTTGTATAGTTAAGTATAAAGTAAATTAATTAAATTGTATGTTTTACCTTATATGCGAGTTACAGATGTTTATCAGAACGTAGAAATGAACACATAAAAAATGCTGCATAAATTCAATTTGCAGGGAGTGTTAGCAGTTATTCCTGATGACATCATCTAACAACACTTGTCTAGGTTGGTTGCCATGGTGATTAAGAAACTTTTTAAGCGCAAACTTGCTGTCACGAACCGCCACAGTCACGAATCAACCCTAAACATCCTCCAAATGAAGTGTGTTCTGTGTAATTGAGACTCGAAGATGTGTGTCTTAAAATAGCGAATGTTTTCTGCCTCGTGTCATCGCTCTGAGGTTTCAGTCAGCGTTGAACAGATTCACTGAAAGACTTAAACTATACACACATCACACCAACAGTTTTAATCAGCTGCAATATATATATCTATATAATGTGTGTGTGTGTGTGTGAGAGGAGGAAGAGTGTGTGTGAATTATTTGTTTTTAATTTAAAAAGTATACATATAATTTATATTTTAATATCAACATTTATACATCGTTCATATTAATATTTAGATATCATTAGATATTTTTCAATATATGTTTTTGTTTTATTACTGTTATTATTATTATTTATTATTTTAATTTGGTAAAGTCGATGTGAGACGTCCTGTGACACGCTCGAGCACAGATCCGATGTGAATTCGAGTGATGATGTCACTCTTCTAGAAGTGTAATAATGAGTGTGTTGGTGACACTAGTGGACGCTCTCCAGGGATTATGATGAAGCCATATTTCATCTCTCATCTGTGTGTATGAAAGTGTGTCATGATCCCTGTGAGGAGAGAACCAGAGCCGCTGTGTGTGCACGAGATTGAGATCAGCGCGCTTCGCTCGGTGCTTTCATCTTCTGAGAGACCAGATCTTATCAGGCAGGAGTTAAAGTGTGTGTGTGTGTGTGTGTGTGTGATACGAGCAGGCTGGTTTGCATTAGAGCTCAGACAGATGTGTGTTGGACTTGGTGTTCACTGGAGGAGAATCACGGCAGTTATGTAGGTGAAGTAAATGTCAGTGAGAACAAGAGCTGTGTGTGTGTCCAAATGTCCATGGAAAAGTATTAAAAACTTCTTTGTCATTCCAAGAGGGAAAGCAACCTTGCATGGGTCAGCTTTATTCTGTCGGTCCATCGGGGTTAAACATGGTCATGACCCTGAGATCACTGCGTGCATCACTCTCACATCCTCAGAGACTGACACACACACTCATACACACGTGCCA